CCCCTCCTCTAAACACCCTGCAGCCACCTATGATGAACTCCAGCCCCACTTCCATATAAGAATTGTTGACCTAACCAGTGCCCTTCCAACCACAATTGTAATGCCCCAAATTCACATTCAAATGCATTAATTATCTATACATCATCTAACCAAAACATCATACTAAAAATAACCATGAGATCTACATCATCTAAACGAATAAAATCATTCACCATTCAATATCTAACTACATTAAAATCTCCAAACCGAACATACCAAATCCTCAATGATTACATTCAAAACTAAAATAATAATCCAGCAACTAACTGGTAAAAGGAAATATCCCAAAACAATTGTCCCGTCAATCATAGTTTAGAAATTTAAACTACAACTCAACATCACTTGGCATCCACTCCTGGATCCAAATCCTAATCTGCCTTAGCATCCCAATCAACTTGCCCATCTAGGGCGATGTCTTCCTTAAAGCCAAAATCTGAAAAATAAGGTTATAACGTAGGATGAGTAGAATTTCTTAGGATTTACACACTAGGGTATCTCAGGACATGGGTTTACTTCATTGATTTTGTACCATCATAAATCCATAAAAAACATTATGACTTGTACATCATAAAATGCATTATGAGCTAGTGAAGTTTCTAAAAGATAAGAAAGTACTGAGGAATAAATGGGCGTTTAAGTTGAAGAAAGACTGCAGTGGAAAATTGATGAAGTATAAGGCTCGATTGGTTGTTAAAGGATTCCAACAAAAGAAAGGAATTGACTTTGATGAGATCTTCTCACTAGTTGTTAAGATGACCTCAATTCAAGTCATTCTCGGATTAGTTTTCAGTTTAAACTTAGAGCTTGAATAAATAGACGTGAAAACAACATTTCTTCATGGAGATCTGGATAAAGAAATCTATATGGAACAATCGAAAGATTTCGAGATTTCAAGAAAGAAAAATCTGGTCTGCACGTTAAGGAGAGTTTGAACGGCCTCAAGCAAGCATCGAGACAGTGGTATAAGAAGTTTGCCTCATTCATGGTGGGTCAACGCTACAAGAGGACTGCTGCAGATTAGTGTGTTTATGTTTAGAAATTCTCGGATGACAATTTTGTTACACTCCCTCTTTATATTGATTGCATGTTGATCATCAGAAAAGATACAACAAAGATTAGTCAATTAAAGAAGGAATTGTCCAAGTCCTTTGACATGAAAGACTTAGACCCAACTCAACAAATACTAGGCATGCAGATTGCTTGTGATAGGAAAACCAAAAAATTGTGACTATCACAGTGTTTGAAAACCCGGCCTAACCCAGCGGGTCAACCCGGTGAACCGATCTCCTAACCGGGCCGGTTTTATTAAAAGACCGTTTATGCAAGGAACTTGGGATAAACTCATTGAACTGGTTAAAAATCGGTAAACTCGTAAGAACTAGACAAGTTTAGCAAACCGGTCAGTTTAATTTCATTTCTATAAATCTAAGATTTTTTCATCATTTGGGCATTTTGTGTTTTTTCCCCTTTTGTTTTGCTCTAAATCGTTCTAGACCAAACGACACAACACAATCGACTAAGCAGTGAGCAACGCCTCCATCTTTCTCGATCCCTCTCTCTCTCTCTCAATCCATCTAGTCGACTATAGATCTAAACCTCATTGCCCTAAATCAATCCATCCAGACCATCAGGCACCATCGGCTGAGCACAGCTCCACGAGGCACCAGCGATTGAGCAGCGACTCCACTAGGCACCATCAACTGAGCACATATCCACGAGGCACCAACGACTGAGCGGCGACTCCAACCATTGGGCACAGCCTCCAGTCCAGTGACGAGGTGAGTTCCCTCCCCCCTTCTCTCTCTTTCTCCACCTATATGTGTTTATATATATATATATATGTGTGTGTGTGTGTGTGTGTTTATGTTTCTGTATTTGTAGTTTGTGTGAGAGAGAGTTTTGTGATATGGTGGTTCTTTGTTTTCTTGATACATATTGTTCTTGGATTTTTTGCACCACATTGTACAACAATCAAAATGGGTTTATTCAAATTGACTCTGTTTGATCAGTGTCATTGAATAATTGTATTTGTTAGATCCCCAATCTCAAGACTCTATGATCAAGAAATGCGTTTTGATTCTTATTTCTGGAAATCTAATGTTGTTGCATTATCAGTTTGAATACATTGAAATTGTATACATGTTTGATGATTTTTTTCTACTTAACTTTATATGTTTGATGTTATTTTTATAATTATTGTGATTTTTTAGACTATTTATTAATATTTATAATTATTTTTTAATTTTTTATTATATTACCGGTCCGACCAGTGACCCAACGGTTGAACTAGTGTCCCATTGACCCAGTTCTTCTGCCGGGATGACGTTCGAGCCGGATTTTAAAACTATGCTATCATAGAAGTAATACGTTGAACTAGTGATCCAGAGGTTCAACATGAATACTGTCAAGCCAATTAGTATTCCACTAGCTAATCATTTCAAGTTGAGTAAGGATTTGTGTCCCCCATTGAAGAAGGAGATAAAAAATATGACAATGATTTCCTACTTTTTAGCAGCTAGGAGTCTAATGTACATAATTGTGTGTACAATGCCAGATATTGCCCATGTAGTGGGCATGGCAAACAAATTTCTTTCCAATATAGGGATAGAACATTGGGAGGCGGTCAAGTAGATTCTCAGATACCTTAAGAGTGCATCGAAGATATGCTTGTGTTACGAGGGAGTTAAATTAGTTTTAGAAGGTTATACAGATTCAGATATGACAAGAGATCTTGATGGTAGAAAATCTAAATCAGAATTTCCCTACACTTTTGCAGGGGAGCTGTGTCATGGTAGTCAATGTTGTAGAAATGCTTAGCCTTATCTACGATAGAGGTAGAGTATATTGCTGCAGTAGAAGCTGGTAAAGAAATGTTGTGATTAAAGCAATCTCTCCAAGAATTGGATATTAAGTAGAAGGAATAAAAGGTGCATTGTGATAGTCAAAGTACTCCAGACTTGAGCAAGAATTCAATTTACCATTCTCAGATGAAGCATATTGATATTCATTATCATTGGTAGCGCGAGGTGATGAAACAACAATTATTGAAACTAGTGAAGATCCACACAATGGAGAATCCAATAGACACGTTGACAAAGGTGGTTACTCGAGATAAATGACTGATTACATTCTTTTCTTATGGTTCTGGAGGAGGAGAATTGAAGGATCTAGAAGTCTCGTCTAGAAGTTTTTGCTGGAGATTTTTGTCGCCGGAGATTTTGACACAAAAATTTTTGTTGCCAGAGTTCTTACCAATCGGAATTTTTGCCTTTTTTTTGTTTTTCACTAGCAAGTCCCTATAAATAGAGAGCTTAATGAAAGCCAAAATTATTCCAAAAGTCAGTAAGGAAGAAACAAAGAAAGAGATCCTCGAGAGAGGTCTTGAGAGTTTTTTTTTTTTTTTTTGAAAAATTCTTGTATTTATTTTCAAAGAAATAAAGATTTTTCTCTTTGTTTATATTGTGTTAGAGCATCGCCAACCATGACTCAAATTTGAGTAAAAAACTTGATTTGGTATAGAAAACTCTAATGGAAAAATTTAGATATATATTCAAATCCTTTAAAAAATTCATCTATTATCTCAAAACTCATTTTTTGTATCATTCAAATCATAAAATATAATAAAATAAATGAAACTTTCATATTTCTCTATAAAATGTGTAATTCAAAAAAAAATATATGGATAAAACACTACCTAGAAATAAAAAGAAACAAAAAAAAATACCCTAGAATTCTCAGATTGTTCTAAAAAAAATGGATCATTTTTCAAGAAAAATGAATGATTAAAGAAATAAAATGATGAATTTTTTAAATTTGTGGGTAATGAATGCTTGAAATTTCAGGAAGAATCAGAGGTTTACAATTGCACTGCCGATAATATTTAACTTGAAAAAATCAAAGAAAAATTTGATGGGTAAGTTTAGGATTTATATAGTATAAAAGATGGATGAGATTAGGGTTTTAAAAAATATAAAAACTCAAGAAGATGGAAGATGAAAAGGATGAAGCTTACTTGCAGGTTTTTAAAGCACTTGTGACTGCTTCGGTGGCGATTGACGATGAAAACAACATAGAAGAAAGAAGAAAAGAAGAGGCAGAAAATAAGTTATCGAGGAAGTTTTTTGGCTTTGGATTAAATTAAAAGTTATCGTTGAAAATTTGGTATATAATTTAAATCGTCTTTAATTTTGGTCCAAAATATTTTTTTTTGATTTGATATAGGCTTGAGTCCAAAATTGAATAAAGTTTTTAAACTATTTAGAAATTTGAGTCTAAATGATCGAAAAACCTTCTCCAACTTTAGTCCCAAATTTATACCAAATTAAAAAAAAAATTATTCTAAACCCAAATTAAAAAAAACTCAAATTCTATATTAGATTTCCAAGGTAACTTTTGTTATCCTATCCAATACTCCTCTCTCTCTCTCTCTCACACACACACACACCCACCCACCCACTTCCAAACCCACCGTGCACAATGCCATTGTACATCTCAAGACTTAATTACCTATTCCTTTTTCTCCGTTGAATTTTTCTTCCAAGAACACCCAAAGAAACCCTAACTTTCTTGATCACATCACAAAATATGGCGAACCCACTAACGTTTCCGATCACATCACATTATGCATGTAAATTCAAGACACCCAATTTTCTTCTTGTTCTCAAGTCTTTTCTTGATGAAACCTTCTTACTGATTTTAACCAACTTTTTGTTTTTCTTTTCTTCTTCTTATTTCTCGAGATCTTCATGATCCTATTGACTTATTCAAACAAACTTTTTTGGGGTTTATATGTCCGGCGCATCTGATTTTGTGGTCAACGCTATAGAAAAATGAGCTTTTGGACAATAAATTTTTTTTAAGAAGATTTAAATAAATATTTAAGTTTATTCATTAAAATATTTTATACTAAATAAAATATTTTATTTAAATTTAAGTAATGATTGAAAAATGCCGGAGACTCCATGTTGGTAAAAAAAAATTGTCAGGTCAATGCAGGAGCTTCTGACTTTTCAGAGCCTTTCCAAATATGGAAAATGCACCGAAGAACTGTTTGGAGTAACGAAGTTTTTTTTTTTTTTTTGATAAAAGAGTAACGAAGTTTAGTACTACTAGTTTCTAGCTCATTCCAGATGTGTCTCTTTGGTCTTTGCTTCCTAAAACGGTCCTCTCTCTCCCTCACTCTCTCTCTGCATCAATTATCGTAAGGGTAATGTTATTGATATCTAAAAAATTGATCTAATTTGCTAAAATAATTTATTGTGACCTTTGAATTGATTGTAGACTTCATCAAACATTGAAATTTGGTATTGATCCAATAATGTATATGAAGTTACATCATTATATCACAAAATTATGTCAAATTTTTAGGTCTCAATACCATTACTTTTATCATAACCCTCCTCTCCCATTTCTCATTCCTGCAAACATAGCTCACCGCTCCCCACAGGTCAATCAATTCTCCCTAAGAGCAATGTTATTGGGACCTAATTTACTGTTTGACCTAATTCACTATGATCTTTGGATTCATTGTAAATTCCATCAAACATTAAAACTTGGTGTTAATCCAATGATTCATATAGAGCCACATCATTATGTTAGCAAATTAAATCAAAATTTTAAATTCAATTAGTATTACTCTTCTCGCCAATAAGATAAGCAAATATAACCTCTCTCTTTCTCTGTATATCTTGTTCTTTCTGTAGTCCTCCGTTTTGGTCATAGTACGAGTCAGAAATTCTACTAGCCTGTTTCTTTGATTCACAACATTATTCTCTTCTCTTGGTTGTTTTTCGTAGAGTCGAGGGGTTTATAGAGTTGGGTATGTGAGGTGAAGGTAAGATTATGGTACCCAAATATTTTTTTTGTATTAATAATACTATTTAAACTTAATATTGGATTGATTGTGGATAATGGGTCTCAATGTCAATCCCATAGTTATGAATGATTAATTTAATAAATTATGTCTAAGTAGTATTCCTTTTTTGACATAGTATTAAAATTTATAATTTTTTTAATTAAATTATATAAAAATAAGGTTGTTGAAATCAATATCAATATTTAGAATCTACCCTAAAATCCTTCCTAAGATTTTTTTATTGTACCAAAAAAAAAAATTGTGTTTTAATTGAAAAATATGTTAAACTTGGGTATGGTAATTCTTTACTGAAGTCTTACTTTGTAAATATGGTGCTTATTTGTGCTGTTGTTGCAGTTTTTGTAGGTACCAATATTGATCATGAACCCTGACAAGTTCACCCACAAGACCAATGAGGCCCTTGCAGGGGCTCATGAACAGGCAATGGAAGCTGGACATGCCCAGTTCACACCACTCCACATAGCCTCGGCTTTGCTCTCCGATCCCAATGGCCTTTTCTGGCAAGCGATAGTGACAGCCAATTTCGGTCGAACAAGTCTTCAATCAAGCATTGAAGAAACTCCCATCTCAAACACCTCGTCCTGTTGAAATCTCAGCAAGTTCTTCCCTGATTAAGTGATTAGAAGAGCTCAATCTTTGCAGAAGAAACGTGGTGACTCGCATTTAGCCATTGATCAATTGATTTTAGGCCTATTGGAAGATACCCAAATCGCGGAACTTCTAAGAGAAGCTGGAGTTAGTCCAGAAAGATTGAAATCAGAGGTTGAAAAGCTTCGGGGGAAAGAAGGAAGAAAGGTGGAAAGTGCCTCTGGGGACACTAATTTCCAAGCCCTTTAGACCTATGGCGTTGATCTTGTAGAGCAGGCCTCAAAACTTGATCCTGTTCTTGGGAGAGACGATGAAATTAGGCGTGTCATTTGGATTCTTTCGAGGAGGACTAAAACAATCCTGTACTTATTGGTGAACCTGATGTGGGAAAAACTGCTGTGGTTGAAGGGCTAGCTCAGAGGATTTTTCGAGGCGATATTCCGAGTAATCTTGCTGATGTGAGGATCATAGCATTGGATATAGGGTCATTGGTGGCTGGAGCAAAGTACAGAGGCGAATTCGAGGAGAGAGTGAAAGCTGCATTGCAAGAAGTAGTAGAGGCCGAGGGGAATGTGATATTGTCCTCGGGGCGAGACGAACAGAGGGGTCGATGGATGCGGCCAATCTGTTCAAGCCAATGCTTGCAAGAGGCCAACTGAGGTGCATTGGTGCGACAATGTTGGCGGAGTATCGGAAATATGTGGAGAAGGATGCTGCATTTGAGAGGCGTTTCCAGCAGGTTTATGTGGCTGAGCCAAGTGTTGAAGATATAATTAGTATTCTTAGAGGTCTTAAAGAGAGGTTTGAGACACACCATGATGTTCGGATTCAGGATCGAGCTCTTGTGGTTGCAGCCCAATTGTCGGGCCGGTACATCACAGGTGCGGATCAAAATTTCGTTTAGGACTGGAGTATTTTAAAAATAGAATAATAACTTAGTAAAAAGCTGGAAGTTTGATTCTGAAATATTGGCAGTAACAGTCTGAAATATCCTTTTAACATCTTTGAATATTCCAAGGTACTAATATTGAATCACTGATTCGTTTCAATTTTCACATATTCATTGGAAATGAACCAAAATTTTGATCACTATGTTATTGTGGGGTTTGGAGAGAATCGGGGCAATAGGATTGAGAGATATATGGTAACTCTTTCCAGGGCGTTATTTGCCGGACAAAGCAATTGATCTACTTGATGAAGCTTGTGCAAATATTAGGGTTCAGCTTGATAGTCAACCTGAAGAAATTGATAAGCTTGAAAGGAGTAGGATTCAGTTAGAAATTGAACTCCATGCTCTTGAGAAAGAGAAAGACAAAGCCAGCAAAGCTCGGCTTGTTGAAGTGAGTATGCTCTCATTTTCTGGTTTCTGATTTGTCTTTTAATTGTCATCATCATCCACATGGTAGTTCTATTTTTTTCATTTTAATTTGGACCATGAGTCAAAATTTTGGTTCGTTTTCACTGAACTGATCAAAATGTTTTTGTTTTGATGAAAACCGAAAAGAATCAATCATTGAAAATTGTAATTGAGAATGTTACGTAATGGTTTAGGATGTTTTGACTTCGGTTTCACAATTCTGTCTTTAATTATTTTTTTTAAAATGTTTTTATTTCCTTTTTTTTTTTTTTTCGGTACATTGGAAAAATAAGACATATCAAAAGCCTCTAACATAGGCAATACTTGCATTATTGTTTCTCAAAAGCTCGCCCATTGAACAAGGTGGGGAGTTGAGGATCACTAAGTTGTCATTCTGTATGACACCCAAATTTGCAAGCTTGTCAGCACTGAAATTTCCTTCTCTTTTGGTGTGAAGGATGGGGCAATTGAGGAGAGTGAGTAGCCTTTTGCATTCAAATATAATTCCTCTCTGTGGATGGGTTTCTTCGAGTCTTGCAGTGAGGAGTCTATGAGCCTCAAGAGTGTCGGTTTCCAAAATAATCTTCTTCAACCCCTTGGTATGAGTAATCTGGAGGCCCATGAAAATGGCCCAACGTTCAGCCTGAATACTTGAGCAGTTAGGGAGACTTCCATAAAACCCCAGCTGCCAAGCTCCTTGGTCACTTCTCACGAGGCTTCCAAACACAGCAGCTCCAGGATTGCCTTTGGAACATCCATCCACATTCAATTTCATCCATCCCGTAGGAGGGAAAGACCAGCAAATGAGATTCTCTGGGCAATGATCATGACAGTCAGAATTAATAAGGAAAGCAGAGTTAATCTCTTGGGCCATAATCCAGGCATTTCTAGCTGTGATCTTGGGGGGAGTTTGGGTTTTTTCAAAACACTCCTTATTCCTGTCTTTCCAGATGTGCCAGATAACACAGATAAACGTTTTTATTTCTGAGCTAACTAGAATTATGCACCAGAACCAAATTAAGTTGCTTGATTTGGACCAAAAAATTGTGACTATTGTTTTAGGTGAAAAAAGAGCTTGAGGAGTTGAGGGAGAAGCTCCAGCCATTGATCTTGAAATACACAAAAAAAAAAAAAGAAAGAAGAGGGACGAGCTCATAAGGGCTGCAGAGGAGGCTGAAAGAAGATTTGATCTGGCCAGAGCTGCAGACTTGAGATACAGAGCGATTCCTGAGGTGGAGGCCGCCAAAGTGAAGCTCGAGGAGAGTTCTGGTGAGAATGTGATGCTAGCAGAGACCGTTGGGCCTGAACATATAGCTGAAGTTGTGAGCCGAAGGACCGGTATTCCGGTCACGAGGCTCTGCCAGAATGAGAAAGGGAAACTGATTGGTCTTGCTGAGATGCTGCATCAGAGAGTTGTTGGACAAGACCATGCAGTGAGGGCTGTTGCTGATGCTGTTTTGAGATCAAGAGGTGGGTTGGGAAGGCCACACCAACCAATTGGTTCATTCCTGTTCTTGGGTCCAACTGGTGTTGGGATAACTGAGCTTGCTAAGGCTTTGGCTGAGCAGCTTTTTGATGATGAAAAGTTTATGATTAGGATTGACATGTCTGAGTATATGGAGCAGTATTCAGTTGCCAGGTTGATTGGGGCTCCACCCGGGTAAGTGGAGTTTATTTTCAACTTATATGTTGTAGAGATGTTAAACGATTTGAGTTTTTTGAGTTTTGTTGGGGACTTGACTCAGGTTTGACTATTTTCAAATTACAAAATGAACAGATATGATGAAGAGTCTTTTGTTTGTTTGTAAACATGTCAAATCAAATCTGAGCATTGTGACGAGTAGCTCAACTTTGCTCAAATTGTTTATTGTCTATTTATATAGAATTATAAATTTATCATCTAATAACATATATTTGAAAGGTAAACAATCTTAAACTTATCAATGTACAATTCCACATTATTTCTCTCTGTCTCTCTCTCTCTCTCTCTCTCATTAACTAAGGTAAACAACATAGAAAAAACAACTATTTTTGTACCAGTTCTGAAAGAGTGAAAAAAAAGGGGATGTTTTGTTAATAGAAACAAGAAAGTGTTTATAATTGTAATGATATAAACAAGAATACTCATCCTAGCATTCCTTTAACATGTACATAGAGAATACGAGAAGATTGACGGATGGCCAAGGCCGTACAGTCGATTTCACCAACACAATCATCATCATGACTTCAAAACCTCGGAGCTGAGTATCTCTTAGCAACTCTTACCGGCCGATGTACACTGGAGAGTGCTCGTGAAATGGTCATGCAAGAGGTAAACTAGCAAAAATGCCGATGCTTAATTCCTCATTCCAATAGTAGTTATTATTGGGAGTCCAAGTTGAATCACGTCGTAGGTTAGGCGTAAAAGTTATTCTATTGTGACGAATGCTTCACATGTTCAAATCAATGCGAGAATATCTAAACATGCGTGAAAAACAGGAAAAGTTGTGTACATATCCCTCTTTTAAATGCAGTGACGAGAACTTGTGTACGGAATTACTCGTTTTAGATTATGTATGTATGTTTGTTTGTATTGCGTGACAGGTGAGGAAACACTTCAAACCAGAGCTACTAAATAGGCTTGATGATATTGTAATCTTTGACCCTCTGTCTCACGAGCAACTGAGACAGGTAGCTAGGCTTCGGTTGAAGGATATTGCAAGGCGCTTGGCTAAGAGGGGCATTGCTTTAGCTGTCGTACTAGCCCAGAGCTATGACCCGGTTAGTATTTCTTTAGAATTCATAGAGCTATGATTGCCAATTCTTTATTTTGACACGAAATGAATATCAAATAAGCGGTTTGACTCATCAGGCTTGTTTACTAAAATGAATCTATATAAACTGATTAAACACAACTTATATATGACTCAAATTTGATTATAAACTACTTTAATTGAATCGTGCATGAGTTCAGTAACTTTTAATACAACACGAGCAGTTACAGTCCCTATCTAAAACTGTGGTGATGTGTTGGCTTTCAGGTTTTTGGTGCAAGACCTATTAGGAGATGGCTGGAGAAGAAGGTGGTTACCGAGCTATCAAAAATGCTCGTGAGAGAGGAGATCGATGAAAATTCAACTGCCTATATAGATGCTGACCCTGATCGAAAAGAGTTAACGTATCCCGTCCAAAAGTATGGTGGGCTAGTGAATGCTGCCACCGGACCCCGATACCATTATATTAAATAAATTTTTTTTCTATTTTTTCAATTACATAATTTAAAATTAATTTTTAACTCATTGTTTCCAAAATTAACATCGAGTTAAAACCTATGATTTGTCTTTTAAAAATTGATAAATTTTTCAAAATACATGACTTCAAGAAAAAAAATTAACATGTATATATTATCGTATATAAATAATAGCGGAAATAAAAAATTATATTGAGTCACAAACTAATAAAAAATTAAATAATTCAAATTGTGATAGAAATTGGTGATGTGATAGAAATAGGCGAGAAAAATTTATAAGAATAAGATTCAAACTCTTAACTCTCTTATTATATATATTTTATCATATTACGAATAAGTTTGTTGATTTTTTAGTGGGCATTTATATCTGTTGTTCAATCTATTGCCTAGTAATACTAATAGATCCGCTATTCATAGATAAACTTAAGATTTACGATCCTATGTAAGATCGATTTATGATCATGAGATTATTTTCTATCTGACAAAAAAAGTTGTAATTCAAAGTCTATTTCTAAGTAATTGCTCATAGCTCTTATATGTATTTATATGAAGAAGAAATCATGTAAAGAATGAATTCTTATTTGTACAAATGATACTTTGAATTATTCGTTAATTATGGGAAAATATATCCGAGTTTTGATGATTATAATATTTGAATTTTTATATGCACCCCTTATTTATTTGGTAATTACCTATGACGGGGTCCGGTTACTGCAAAGATACGTGGTCTAGCAAGGTCGATTGGGATATAACAGAATTCATCCGCCACCTGAAAACCCTAGCCCAACCAAGTCCAACAAGAACCTAACTCAGTAGTTGGTCCAGAGTCCAGACCAACGTTATACTAGGTAACTAGCTTCGTCTAAGCCATTATTAGAGGGGAGTTCGTGTTGGTCGGGTGTTAATAAATTCTTGTTAAAAAATATTTAATTCATCCTTGATATGTTTATTAATTTATGTCAAACGAATTGTGTCTTGTTGGGTTCGTGCAAAATTTGAGTCGTGTATAATCAATATATAAACAAGTTGAGTCGTGTATTTCTTTTAATTGACTTCACTCATACTTTATTTGTTTATTAATCGTATCGTGTTAGACTTAAGGAAAATCAAAATCCTCTAATTTCGTGTTGTGTTAATAGATTATGTTATTATATTAACATCCCTAATTATCAAGGAAAGTTTCCGGTTCCATCCTTGTAAATGAATAAAACATGGTAAGGTGGATCCAATAGCTATTTTGTTTCCAATCTTACCCATTTATCTACCATTTTTCCTTGAACTAAACTTTCTCTTAGACTTTTCCGTCTACTTTCATATTTGCGTGCAAAGAAACTATTGTTATGATTTAAACCCGTGAAATCAAAATTATATAGACTCGAATGACCCATATATACTCCCTCGACAAAATCTTAACAAAGTAGGGACCACCTGATGATGACAACATCATCTCTAATAAATACCAAGTCCCTCACTCATGAGAGGGCATAAGAGAAACACTGTAACCGAGAAATACACAATTTCTCTAGGGGCAAGAGATTTAATTAGAGTAGATTAGTCAAACTTCACAATTGGTAAACTACTATAGTTCTTGTGTTTTTATTAATTCTCCAACTCAGTCTCTATTTTATGTTTTTATTATTGTAGTACCAGCTAGAGCCACTAAACTCCATTCCAATTTCCTCACCTCCCTTCACACATATACTAAACCGCCATCACCAGGCCTTGAACTCTTCAGTTTAAGCATCCGATTCACATTATAAAAAGTCACAAACTAATAAAAAATTAAATAATTTAAATTGTGATAGAAATGAGTGATGTGATAGAAATAGACGAAAAATATATATAGGGATAAAATTTAAACTCCTAACCCTGCTATTATATGGATTTTGTCATATTTTTTTTTCATGATGAATAAGTTTGTTGAGCTTTTAGTAGGCGTTCATATCTATTGTTCAATCTAATGTGGATCAAGAAATTGTTTTATTCTTACTACTATTAGATTCGTTATTTACAAACAAACTTACAATCTTATGTAAGATCGATTCAGAATCTTCGAGTTATTTTTCATCAGATAGGAATGGTCGTAATGCAAAATTTATTTCTTAGTAATTGCTCATAGGTCTTATTTCTATCTATATAAAGCAGAAATTATGTTGCGAAGAGGTTTTTATTTGTACAAATGATAATTCGAATTTGGAATGAGCATGAAGAAATTAACGAAGGTCGTTATAATTAACGAAAAATATATCCGAGTTTTGATGGTAATAATATTCGAATTTTTATATGCACCCCTTATTTATTCGGTAATTAACTGTGACTGGGTTTAGCACGGTCAAATGGGCTATAACAGATTTCATCCGCCACCTGAAAATCCTAGCCCAAACTAAGTCCAACAAGAGCCTGACTCAGTAGTTGAACATCCAGACCAATATTATACTAGATTCATCTAAGTCAGTATCAATATTCAATCGTGTTAGATGCGATAGATTCGTGTTGAGTCTTAGTGAGTTCTTGTCAAAAAATATTTTATTCATATTCAATGTATTTTTGTCTAATGAATCGTGTCATATTGAGATCATGTCGTGTATGAATCGTGTATAACTAGTACATAAACAAGTCTTTTCATCTATTTTTTTTAATTGACTTCATTCATACCTGATTCATTCATTAATCGTGTCATGTCAAGTCTATTCGTTTACAAAAACGAGTGATTTAAAAAAGACTCAAACTCTCTAATTTCGTATCGCGTTAACAAATTATGTCGTATATTAACATCCCTAATTATCAGGGAAACCTTCGGATTCCATCCTTGTACACCAGTTTCCCTTTCCTAGAATGGTTAGCAATCTCTTTAACATTTTGGGGCAATGTATAGAATTATCGGGAGCTTTCTAAAGTGGTGCTTCTCATAGGCATTGGAAAACACCACAGTGGCCTAGTCTGAAGTAAAATTGATAATCGAGTTAAGCTTTGCAAATTCAAGACGGGCTTGTCGAATTTGTTTTTTAAACGAGTCTAAGAAATTATTTAACCTCAGCTCGTTTTAAAAATGCACCGAGCCTGAACTGAACCCAAAACAAGCCAAATTTGAATCGAACATGAGTAACGCGACTATTTTACATATAAATGAGCAGATTTTTGTAAACACAAATTGAGCCTTTTAAGCTCGTTTTTTTAAACGAGTCTATAAAATTATTCACGAGCCGAGTTTGAGTCGAGTCCTATCTGAACCAAACTCGGAAAACTGCCCAATTATCAACCCTAGTCTAAAATGCGGAGAGACCTCTTCGAGTACATAGCAACCTCTTAAAACAATATTATTCAAAATCGATGATCTGTGGACTTTCATGAATCTAAATTTTATGTGATATACTTTTTGACGAATTTTTTTAGTGGCATATCATCCACCAACATATAATTCACTTGCATTGTAGATTCCATTTCAATTTAGGATGTGTGAATTACCCTTAAAATAAATTTGAAAAAAGTGCATTAGAAGAAATTGAATCCAAATATAATATAATACCTTTCTTCTACTTTTCTCTTTGGTTGATCACCTACCCCGTATTAGTGAAGAAACAACTCATAAATAATGATTCCTACTTGAATGCACGATAAATGATCTATGAGAAAAATAGAAAAAAAAAATGTATTGAATGAGTCTTACTCTAATGCTCCGTTTGACAGGATAGAAAGTTGAAAGGATAAAAAGTTACATAGATAAATAAAATATTATCAATATTCACGTCCAGACCAATATTATACTAGCTTCATCTAAGCCATTATCAATATTCAATCATGTTATATGGGTAGATTCGTGTTGAGTCATAGCGAGTTCTTGTCAAAAAATATTTTATCCATATTCAATGCATTTGTGTTTAACGAATCGTGTCATGTATGAAACGTGTACAACTGGTACATAAATAAGTCTTATCGTGTATTTTTTTTAATTGACTTCATTCATACCTGATTCATTCATTAATCGTGTCATGTCAAGTCCATTCATTTACAAAAACGAGTGATTTAAAAAAGACTCAAATTCTCTAATTTCGTATCTTGTTAACAAATTATGTCGTATATTAACACCCCTAATTATCAAGGAAACCTTTGGATTCCATCCTTGTACACGAGTCTCCCTTTCCTAGAATGGTTAGCAAGTTTTTTAACATTTTGGGGCAGTGGATAGAATTATCTGCTTCTCATAGGCATTGTAGAACTCCATAGTGGTCTGAAGTAAAATTGATAATCAAGTTAAGTTTTGCGAATTCGAGGCGAGCTTGTAGAATTTGTCTTTTAAGTGAGTCTAAGAAATTATTTAACCTCATCTTGTTTAAAAAATGCACCGAACTTGAACTGAGCCCAAAACAAGCCAAATTTGAGTCGAACACGAGTAACGCGACTATTTTACATATAAATGAGCAGAGTTTTGTAAACGCAAGCTGAGCCTTTTAAGCTCATTTTTCTAAACGAGTCTACAAAATTATTCACGAGCCGAGTTCGAGTCGAGTCCTATTCGAACCAAACTCGGGTAACTGCCCAATTATCAACCCTAGTCTAAAGTGTGCAGAGACCTCTTCGAGTACATAGCAACCTCTTAAAACAATATTATTCAAAATCGATGATCTGTGGACTTTCATGAATCTAAATTTTATGTGATATACTTTTTGACGAATTTTTTTAGTGGCATATCATCCACCAACATATAATTCACTTGAATTGTAGATTCCATTTGAATTTAAGATGTGTGAATTACCCTTAAAATAAATTTGAAAAAAGTGTATTAGAAGAAATTGAATCCAAATATAATATAATACCTTTTTCTTCTACTTTTCTCTTTGGTTGATCACCTACCCCGTATTAGTGAAGAAACAACTCATAAATAATGATTTCTACTTGAATACACGACAAATGATCTATAAGAAAAATAGAAAAAAAAATGTATTGAATGAGTCTCACTCTAATGGTTCTTCTGAGAATATTGAAAGTTAGAAAGATAAAAAAGTGAATAGATAAATAAAATATTATCAATATTCACGTCCAGACCAATATTATACTAGCTTCATCTAAGTCATTATCAATATTCAATCATGTTATATGGGTAGATTCGTGTCGAGTCTTAGCGAGTTTTTATCAAAAATATTTTATTCATATTCAATGCATTTGTGTCTAACGAATTATGTCATATTGAGATCGTGTCGTATATGAATCGTGTATAACCGGTATATAAACAAGTCTTATCGTGTATTTCTTTCAATTGACTTCATTCATACCTAATTCATTCATTAATCGTGTCATGTCAAGTCTATTCATTTACAAAAACGAGTGATTTAAAAAAAATTCAAACTCTCTAATTTCATATCTTGTTAACAAATTATGTCGTATATTAACACCCCTAATTATCAAGGAAACCTTCGGATTCCATCCTTGTACACGAGTCTCCCTTTCCTAGAATGGTTAGCAATTTTTTTAACATTTTGGGGCAGTGGATAGAATTATCGAGAGCTTTCTAAAGTGGTGCTTCTCATAGGCATTGTAGAACTCCATAGTGGTCTGAAGTAAAACTGATAATCAAGTTAAAGTTTTGCGAATTCGAGGCGAGCTTGTAGAATTTGTCTTTTAAGTGAGTCTAAGAAATTATTTAACCTCAGCTTGTTTAAAAAATGCACCGAACTTGAACTGAGCCCAAAATAAGCCAAATTTGAGTCGAACACGAGTAACGTGACTATTTTACATATAAATGAGCAGAGTTTTGTAAACGCAAGCTGAGCCTTTTGAGCTCATTTTTCTAGACGAGTCTATAAAATTATTCACGAGCCGAGTTCGAGTCGAGTCCTATCCGAACCAAACCCGGGTAACTGCCCAATTATCAACCCTAGTCTAAAGTGTGCAGAGACCTCTTCGAGTACATAACAACCTCTTAAAACAATATTATTCAAAATCGATGATATGTGGACTTTCATAAATCTAAATTTTATGTGATATACTTTTTGACGAATTTTTTTAGTGGCATATCATCCACCAACATATAATTCACTTGAATTGTAGATTCCATTTGAATTTAAGATGTGTGAATTACCCTTAAAATAAATTTGAAAAAAGTGTATTAGAAGAAATTGAATCCAAATATAATATAATACCATTTTCTTCTACTTTTCTCTTTGGTTGATCACCTACCCCGTATTAGTGAAGAAACAACTCATAAATAATGATTTCTACTTGAATACACGACAAATGATCTATGAGAAAAATAGAAAAAAAAATGTATTGAATGAGTCTTACTCTAATGGTTCGTCTGATAATATTGAAAGTTAGAAAGATGAAAAATTGGATAGATAAATAAAATATTATCAATATTCACGTCCAGACCAATATTATACTAGCTTCATCTAAGTCATTATCAATATTCAATCGTGTTATATGGGTAGATTCGTGTCGAGTCTTAGCGAGTTTTTATCAAAAAATATTTTATTCATATTCAATGCATTTGTGTCTAACGAATTATGTCATATTGAGATCGTGTCGTATATGAATCGTGTATAATCGGTATATAAATAAGTCTTATCGTGTATTTTTTTCAATTGACTTCATTCATACCTGATTCATTCATTAATCGTGTCATGTCAAGTCTATTCATTTACAAAAACGAGTGATTTTAAAAAAATTCAAACTCTCTAATTTCATATCTTGTTAACAAATTATGTCGTATATTAACACCCCTAATTATCAAGGAAACCTTCGGATTCCATCCTTGTACACGAGTCTCCCTTTCCTAGAATGGTTAGCAATTTTTTTAACATTTTGGGGCAGTGGATAGAATTATCGAGAGCTTTCTAAAGTGGTGCTTCTCATAGGCATTGTAGAACTCTATAGTGGCCTAGTCTGAAGCGAAACTGATAATCAAGTTGAGCTTTGCGAGTTCAAGTCGAACTTGTTGAATTTGTTTTTTTCAACGAGTATAAAAAATTATTTAAGCTCAGCTCAATTAAAAAATAGACCGAGCTTGAAATGAGCCCAAAACAAGTCAAATTTGAGTTGAACACGAGTAACGCGACTATTTTACATATAAAAGAGCAGAGTTTTGTGAACGCAAGCCGAGCTTTTTAAGCTCGTTTTTTTAAACGAGTCTACAAAATTATTCACAAACTGAGTTCGAGTCGAGTCTTCTTTGAACCAAACCCAGATAACTGCCCAGTTATCAACCCTAGTCTAAAGTGCGGAGAGAACTCTTCGAGTACCTAGCAACCTCTTAAAACAATATTATTCAAAATTGATGATATGTGGATTTTCATGAATCTAAATTTTATGTGATTTACTTTTTGAAGAATTTTTTTAGTGGCATATATCATCCACCAACATATAATTCACTTACATAGTAGATTCCATTTGAATTTAGGATGTGTGAATTACCCTTAAAATAAATTTGAAAAAAGTGTATTAGAAGAAATTGAATCCAAATATAATATAATACTTTTTTCTTCTATTTTTCTCTTTGGTTGATCACCAACCCTGTATTAGTGAACAAACAACTCATAGATAATGATTCTCACTTGAACGTACGATAAATAATCTATGAAAAAAATTAAAAAAAAAATGTATTGAAATGAGTCTTACTCTAAGAAAATCCTAATCCAATTTCCACTCCTAGTCTCATTTGTTAACTACGTTTTCTCTCAACCCAACTCTCCATTTTGCTAGGTGGCCTAATTTTTCTTTGATTTGTCTTTATAGTTGTCACATATAATGCAAAAAACGTAGCTCAAACTACCTTGTACCCACACATAGCAATTGTATGCACATCACCATCATGGACTACCTTTATATATCTTCTTTCTAATCCTTCAACCCCCCCCCCCCCCCTCCTCTCTTTTCTCTCCCTTCTTTTACCCCTCACCTTATTGGATGTTATTTCAGCATTCATCATAAAGGAACAACTGTTTTGGCCACTTTCTTATTTGATTATGAAAATGTTGAAACATATTACTATGTAATAATGATAACGGAATATGATCATTGTCATATATAACTATAATTTTGAATTGGACTAGTTAGATATACAAGCCAACATGACACCAACCCACATCCATAGATGTCATACCATGTTTGAGAATGATTGGATAAAAATAGAAAGAACATGCAGGCGTGATGGTGTGACGTTAACCTAGACATCTTTTTTATAATGCTTAAATTATTTTTGAGTTTAACACCCTTCCTCCATTGAAATGTTTGATTTAATATAAGGGCATAATCGTAATTTCAATTATCATTCAATGAGATTAAATGCACTATGCAAAGTTGGTGGGGATCGAAATGCCCACTTGTTTAATCCTCCATGTTTGTAAATTAACCTTAAAAAAATGTGTATAAATTAACGAAACATAGGTGAGGTGGATCCAATTACTATTTTGTTTCCAATCTCACCCATTTATCTACCATTTTTCCATGAACTAAACTCCCCCCTAACTTTTGAGATAATTTCATATTTGCATGCAAAGAAACTAACGTTATGGTTTAAACCCGTGAAACTAAAATTGTAATAAAATAATCTTGAAGACTACTTCAACCATGGGTTACAGTATTTATATCTATAAATACTATACCGCGGGTTGTTCTTGATTTTAGAATGACAATGTCGGGCAAACCACATTGTTCGGTTAAAAATATAATTTTATTTTTATTTATATCAAACACAATCCAACAATAAAATATATTTTAATTAAAAAAAATTAGATGAAAGAATTCCGACATTTTAAGATGATTGTCCACATCTGGTTTAATGAATCAAAACAAGCATAATTAATTCAATTCTCGATCCGAATAAACAATTTCATGCCTCCTTATCCAAACACCATAGATCCCCGCCCCCCCGGTCCTTCTTTTTCCTTTTCCCCCCTTTCTTCCACACCAAAAAAAAAAAAAAAACAACTCCATGAATAAATGCTCTACACGACACCATCACACAGGGAAAAGAAAAAAAAAAAAGTTAAGAGAGGAATAGTATACTGTTTCAAATAACCAAGTTACAGTAGCAACAACAAAAACAAAAGTTTTCATTAGTCGATGCCAGACTGGGCCACTGCCATCCCACCATCTATATCATCTTTTTCACTGTACGTATTTTACTGTCTATACTCTATAGAACTCTCGCCCATTTCCTAAACACACCCATTCTCTCTCTCTCTCTCTCATTATCTCTCCTGCAGTTCTTCTGATAAGCTGCAACAGGCCCTTTATCATCTTTGAGCACCCATTGCTACCTCATCTTCTCTCTACTTGTTCAACCTATTTTCATGGCTAGAATAATGTTTCTGGTGCTTATCTTGGCCATGGCTGGTCATTCAGGTAAGCTCTTTCACAAACATTTTTCCTTGTTTTTCTTTCACCAACCTACTAAAAGCTGCAAGTTATCAGCTTAATTATCTCTCTATTTTGTCATATGGGTTTCCCTAGACTCTTTTCTTCCTCGCTTTCCTACTACTTTTTCAAAAAAAAAAAAAATTCCTAGTTTTTCTGTTTCTTTTTTCAAGTTATAGTGCTTATAATCTTTCATTTTTCAATGTTTACTTTTATTTTTAGAAATAAACGAGTTCATTTACTATCATACATTCTCTCTTTTATTTTGCTTAAATTTTTTCCATTTAATAATATAAATTTTTGTTTATAGGGGCTTAATTTCTTCCTATTTTTGCAGCATGTAGTTTTTATTTAATTTCTCCATCAATTTAGCACTCAAAAAAAAAAAAAAAACGATTTGTTCTTATGTATGGGATATAAATCATGCTATCCCTTTCATTTTCAAATATTAGGTAGTGTAAACTGTAGAGGTATTGCAACAGGCTCCTATTTTCCCATGTTTTTGTGAATTTCTGTTTTTCTCTCCAATCTTTTTTTTCTACCCTTCAAACTTCATCCCATATTTGTTATTATTTTCTAAATGATTTTAGTTAACTAATTTTATTTTGTCATACACCTTCCAAAAAATAAGACAATAGTTTTTCAAATCTCTATACTTCTTTTTTGTTTCTTAAAAAAAAATCCCCCCCCCCTCCCCCCCCCCCCCCCCCCAAAAAAAAAAAAAACCATTTATTCTTTATATTTCAATGGGCAAGTTTATTTCCTCTCCTATAATTGTTTTTTCCCTTGGATTTTTGTGTTAGGTGCTACATGGTGCGCTTGCAAGGAAGGGTTGGGTGATGCAGCCTTGCAGAAGACACTGGACTATGCTTGTGGAGCTGGGGCTGACTGCAACCCGCTCCATCAAAATGGGCCATGTTACAACCCCAACACTGTGAAAGCTCATTGCAACTATGCTGTCAACAGTTACTTCCAAAAGAAAGGCCAAGCTCAAGGCTCTTGTGACTTTTCTGGCACTGCCTCTGTTGTTACATCTGACCCTAGTGAGTGCCCCCCCTTTTCTCTCCCACAACATAAGATTTGAACACTCTTCATAGATCCATTTGGATTTGCTGCTTTTTTCTCAAAATTTTTGTTGGTGATTTTCAGGTACTGCTGGTTGTGTTTTCCCTGCTAGTGCCAGGTATGTTTTATGTAAATTTTTTGTTTGAATGTTCGTAATACTATTTACACTTTTTGCAAATGAACAAGCCGAGTCTGAATAGTCTAGTTTTTAGCTCGAGTAGATTAATTTGCAGTCCTGGACAGTGCACTATGTAGGAGAATTGATGTTGTTTAGACTTAGGGAGTGACCCTTAATATGCTTTAATAAGTTCAAAAGGTGACACGGTGGTGCTGTTGTAAGTTTGGGTAGGATGTCATACAAGCTTTATTCCAGAAACTTGGGATAATTGGGCAGTTTTTATGTTACACATTGGGCATTGTCTGAGTGACATTTTGAGTTATGAACAACTTGGTGATTCTAGCAAGCTTTAATGTGCCCAATCAAGGAGAAAAAGAATAGAAGAAGATAGAAAGGTCTTATTTGGCTATTTGAGCACTTCTTTTCTAGGGTCCAGATGTTTTTTGAATGCCTTGAGATGTTTTTTGAATGCCTTTAGTCCAAAATTGTTGCACGATGAGAATCAACCCGCCTAGAATCGACTCCCTCACCTTAAAGAAGCATCGAAACTCTCACAAATTGGTCCGAATTTTGACTATTCAAGTAATCATCGAACTACTATTTTTCGAGCCAAATGATTTTCTCCATATATTCAGACTTGTCTAAATTCTTTTTTTTTGTTTGAAATGCAATTAGCACCCGGATCAAAGTCTAAAACCTGAGCCTGCTTTTCTGTGTCATGGTGGACTCCTTTATCTAAAGGACTTTCCTCTTTTCCCTTACATTTTACCTTTAGTGGGGATGAGCAGCTCCCCTTATTTCTATGAAAAGCAAAGCTTTATGTAAAAAGCATTTCAGTCACAATCCCTTTGTTTTTCATTCATATTCCAATAACCCATAAAAAGTTTCTCTTAAGCATTTATTCTAAATCCTACAAGTCCTTCTCTTTGTTTCACTTTTGGTCTAACCTATGTGAGCTCTTTTTGTCATTTTGGCTTTTTAAAGTGATTGCATGATGATATCTCTTTGGCTACATAAATCCTTGATTTATTACCACCACTCATGTGCCGAGTTGAAAATTGATTTAGACCATTAATTTTAATTTGAATGGTCTATAATCACTAATAGGAGAAATTATAAAATAATAGAATATAAAATAATTTTTTTTATATGTAATGCGTTTTTATTAAATAAAGTGTACAAGTAATAATATTTTTCGCCCAAAAATAGTATTTTGGTAACACAAGGTAATTCTTCTTTTCTTTAATATTCCAATAACCCATAAAGTTTTTTTGAGCAAAGAATTTGAATCTTATTCATATATATATATATTTTTAATTTCTATCATAAGCTAAATTATTTAATTTGTGACTTAGTATAATTTTTATTTCAAATATTATTTATATATGATTTTATTTCAAATATAATTTAATTTTTGATTAATTTGTGACTTGATATTTTTTTCTGAGGCTATGAATTTTAAGAAAATTTTGTAAATAATAATGAGTAAACATTATAATTAAAAAAATATTTATTTTAAAATTTATTGTGCCTTACAACAAGGATGATAACTATTATTCTAAATCCCACAAGTTCTTCAATCTTTTTAACTCTTGATCTACTACTCTATGTGAGCTATTTTTTTTTTTGTCATTTTGTTCCTTGTAGTTGATTGCATGATGATGTCCCTCGACTCCATTGCCCCCATTGATTGATTTATTGCTTGTACAGTTGTACTTTTTCAACTTTTGTACAAAGGTGCCGCAATTATTGGCCACAGATGGTATCCAATGCCCCTTTTTTTTTTTACCATGGGTATAAAAAGACATTTTTGTCCCTCAATCAAATGTCAAAATCCCTCTCTTCTTTATAGTTTGGGAATAAACTCTAAAACATTCAACACAGTCGTACAATAAGAATCGTATAATTAATTAAGAAGGTATTTATGTCACTCATCCAAACCCGAGGTCTTGATTCCGGAATGAATAACATAGAATTTCCTATACACGATTCTAGTTTAGACCAAAGTTCACCATTTAAACCCGTTCAATATATTTTAACAATTAATAAGGGTAATCTGTACCTGAAAGTACGGTGTAATGTACACTTGAATTCTTGAGAGAAATATTGATAGTCGTTGAATGATTCTATTTGAAACCGTCGAATGAATCGATTGAAGTTTGTCATATTCTATATTGTAGATAATAACAATGAATTAAGAGGGTCATGTTGTGTTTTTAAAATTTTTCAAGTTGTATCATCTCAAAATTTGTTTAATTTATATTTGGCCTATTTATTATGTGTATGTAAATGATATTTAGTTGGATTCTTATTTATTTATTCATTTACATAACTCGTAAATTTTATATTTAATTCACTATTTAGAATTACCATAAGTAGAATAAAAATTATTTAGTGTGATTCAATAAATTTGTTAAGGATATGATATTGGAGTCAGAATCGCATCTCTATTAATTTTGATCATCAAATTTGAATTGAATGATCTATGTCCGTTGATTATAAAACAATAAAAAATTATATACATAATATATTTTTATTGGTTTTAAAATAAGAATATGATATCATTAAAGTAATTTTTCATTGGTACGATAATGGGCCCACAAGAAATTTAACCCTAAGTCATAAAATTTGAAATTTTAGAGTATGAAAAGTTGTTAAGCAAATGGGTACTTGCTGGCGAGTGACAATGTGGCTTTTGTCATGTTGTTCAAACATGAATGAAAGCAACAAAGGCTGTGTCACTGTCAACTATCATGTTGGCGCACCTATTTATGTGAGTGACTGATGAGGCTGAATTGTAGCCGTTGGATGGATTATTGGTCTGTGATCTGTGCCTGCTTTTTTTTGTCGAACGTTCAAGATGTCTCGAGAGTTGTGCACTTGTTTTACTCGTACTAAAACAATGGATGGGCCCCATCTTTCGAGTTGGCACAAATCCGCTTACTCAGTGAGGCTTTTAATGAACATTTTTACCTCACCTAGGTCCAGTCAATTTTAATGGACAAAGGTTAAGGGCCTCTCTCTCTCTCTCTCTCTACGTTACGAGGGTGTTTGGTGGAAAAAGTATTGGGCGTAACGGTTGTACTATGTCATTACCGTCATGTGGTGTTACTATTCAATAAAAGCATAGCAAATAAGTGAATTTCACATATTATAGTAACCATCCTTCTATATCATGTAGTAATCACCCAATGTCTAAAAAAAACTATCAAGTGAAGTACATCTTATCCACTTGTAAGTTTATTACTAGATATTGGCACTACATAATGGTGATGACTACTAAGTTTGGACTCGCTCTGATTTTTGAATCATGCTAGACGAAAAGAATGGGTCTTAAAATCATATCATCAAGACAATAATTACTCATTAGAATTTGGAGGAGGGCAACTTTTGGAACGTTGTTATGAGGGTGTTTGACGCCTTGGTTTAAATAAGGTTCTGTTTGTGACACGTCAAAGTCTCTGTCCAACTGCCTACCCATGTGCCCAAGGTGTTTTGCTACTGTCCTTTTGTGCATGTCTGTGGATTAAGGGTGTTCACCTTGCTCGTTTGTTTTCTTATTCAATACTTCGTGAAAGTATTTTTTCTTGATCTACTCTATGCAATATTTTGCGGAATAATTTTTTCTTGACTTATCTTACCTTACCCGATTAAGTGTGGTATTCTTATCCAATTTTTTGCCAAATTAATCGGGTAGAAAATCTGGTAAACACTTGTAGTTATTAATTTTTGAATTATTTTAATAATTTAATTAAATAATATGCATCAATTTAATAATACAATAAATTAATAATACTAAAAACTAAAACAATTACAATAATATATATATATATATATATATATTAATACATTTACGGTAGAGTAGTAATACGAAAATTAATGACTATTCCACATTTTTACTCGATTTTATTGAAAGATTAAAAATTCTTTCGCATTCTTATCCGATTTTATTGAAAGATCAAAAAATTTTTTGCATTCTTACTTGATTTTTTTTGGCTAACAGTTCAATAGGGTTAAATAGGATAAAAAATTGCGGCTAATCGAAAATTTGAAAGGTTGGTTTTGTGTCAAGCATGAGTTTGGTAGGGACTGCTGGCTTGTCTCTTCTCCTGGTGATGATATTGTAGGAGTTGTCAATGTTATGAGCTTATTAAGCATCTGGCAAATGTGACGTGACCGTTACATTGAATATTTACGTTATTTAAGCACATTTGTGAGTTTTTGTTTTGTTTTTCAAATTACTGGAGTCGTTCTAAATTTAAGCAAATTTTAGTTTCTTGAATGCAGCACGAATCTCGGATGCAAACAACCACCCACCCAGCTTTTTTTTTGATGATATTGCTTTGGTTCAAATTGTTTTGAGCTTGTATGGTGATTTTTCCTTATGTTAATTTGTTTCAGCTCCACTACTCCAGTCACCAACACACCGACAACTGCCACGCCAACCACTGGCACACCATCCACCGCCACACCATCCACCGCCACACCATCCACCACCACACCCAATGGCGGTTCTCCATTAGTGACAACTCCATCCAACGGTGTCTTAGGCGGCGTTGGCCCAGGTTTAGGCCCGTCAGGAGCAGGCAATGGCATCAACACAGACATGAGTCATGGTGGATTCAGGATTCAAAAGGTTGGACTGTTCACTTTGGTAATGTCAATGGTGATTTCAGGAGGACCTGTGTTTTTGTGGGGTTGAAGTTGAAGCTGAAGAGAGAATGAGATGTTTGATGGTGCAAGTTGTTGTTCAGAAGAGTTGGTATGCATGTGATTCTACTACTAGTTGTTGGTTATATTAATAGCTAGACAAGCATGCTTTGTTTTGTTTTTTTTTTCTTGTCCCCCTTATTTGGGATAGAAGACAGGGCTTCTGATTCCTTTTGGGTGGTGTATTGTGGTTACTAGTGGCTCTCTCTCTCTCTCTCTCTCTCTCTCTCTCTCTGTACATCTGCATCTAGAAGGACAGTTGCATATTAATTGGATAAGTTTGTTGCACCCCATGTTCCCAATGAGAACTTCCAAACAACACTGGTATGAATATCATCATGTATGTGGCATAGATACCCCCTCCACCATCACCACCACCACCACCACCACCACCACCACCACCTTGAGATGTCATACGTGGTTAACGATTATTTGGTAACATGTTTCTTAGGTTGAACTTATTTTTATGCTATTGTAGCGAAAAATGGCTAAATCAAGTGAAGTTGTGACTTAAGAGGTCAATTTCATCTCTTTAAAAAGTTTGGAATTGATTCCAAGTTTTTGGAACTCGATGAGTAATAACTTTAACAATATTAGGCTGTACTTTTTTTTTTTGGATCAAAAACCATATAGGTTGTTTCCTAATATATATATTGTCACACTCTAATTGACTTGGTTGCAAATGGCCGGTCTTGGTGGCATCTTGCACCAAGGCATGCTAGAAATTGGAATTAAAGTTATGCGGTTAAGTGGTTCGACAGATTGGGACGAACCAAGGCAGCATGAGACCACCCGATTGAGCATGGGTGGGTTCAATTGAAGCAATGTGAGTACAGAGCTTTGGATTGCATGGCATGGGTTGACCCAACATGCACATTGGTTCGTGTAGTAAGGTTGACTGGTGAATGTGGGCACATGATTGCTGAATGTGGGCACCTGATTGGCACATGGCTGCTCAATGCATGTGACCAAGAGGATGTGGACAGTTATGATGTTGAGACTAAATCAAGGCAGTTGTTGAGGCAGTTCTGGATGTCCCCAGTCTGAATCCAGTCTAGATGCATGCTGATGAAGGGGCAGTTCCACAGCAGTTATTTGAAGTGGTGGAACTGTCTATCAGGTGTTGCACAGAGACCAAGTCTACTAGTCCAGTATGCTATGGAATAGCAAAAACGTGGATAACTACCCCTTGGCAGATGTGGGTGTCATCTGCCTTCCTTTTGTATAAATAGAGGTGCTTGAGCATTCTGGAAGGGGGGAGAGTGTTCTGGCTTTTGAGAATCCTTGTAAATTGTTGAGTTCAATATATAAGGTTTGAGAGTGTTGTCCCAGTAGATTCGTGTGTGTCTTCTGTGTGAGTTTCTGTCCCTTATTCTTGAGTTGAGTGTGGCTGGTTGTAATAGCAACGCCTTCACAGGTAGCCTCAAAAGAAAAACGAAAGTTACCCTGTGACAGTTTGGTATCAGAGCGTAATTTTGGCAACAGATCAATTATGGCTGGCGGAACGAATGCTGATCTAAGGGAAAAGGTGGCACGGTTGGAGGAGCTGGTTGGTCCTCCACAGTCTGGTGATGCTGTAGCTCTCTCTATGCAGATTGAGTTGCTATATCAGCGGTTCGAAGAGATGCGTGTTGCATATGAACAACTTCAAAAGACTGAATCTGATCACTTCAGTCGAGTGAAAAACGAAGTTGTTGACGTGTTGGCTACGATCTCCACATGGACCGATGATATGGGGGAAAAATTGAGTTCCCTCGAGACTGACGTTTCAGTGCTTAAGAGGGCATTGGAGAATGTCTCTGTGGCTTCTGATAGTGAAAGCACTCAGAAAGCTAAAGTGTTTGACCCTAAGCCTTTCACAGGCAGTCGAAATGCTAAAGAACTCGAGAATTTTCTGTGGGATATGGGACATTACTTCAAAGCAGTCCGCACTCCGGATGCTGAGAAGGTAGATCTCACTAGCATGTACCTGTCCGGTAATGCTAAATTGTGGTGGCGAACACGTTCGGAGGACAAATCTCGTCTTCCAATTACTACTTAGGAGTCTATGTCCACTGAAATGAAGGAGCAATTTCTTCCCAGCAACACGGCTTGGCAAACTCGTGATGCATTGAGGAAACTTCGACATACAAGCACTGTGAGGGAGTACGTGAAACAATTCTCGTCTCTGATGCTTGACATTAAAAATATGTCAGAGGAAGACAAACTGTTCAACTTTATGTCTGGTCTCCAAACTTGGGCACAGACAGAACTTCGTCGGCAAGGGGTGAAGGATTTACCCGCTGCTATGTCTGCAGCAGACGAGAATTGTTGACGCAGGCTAATCCTCAAGAGAAGGAGTCGAAAGGGAAAACCAAGTTTGCTAAGAAGGATAAGCAGAAGAAAAAGGCTGAGAAGTTTGGCAATTCAGAAAAATAGACTGACAAAGCCTCTTCATCAAAGGGAGGTGTTGACTCAGGATGTTTTATCTGTAATGGCCCTCATCGTGCCAGAAATTGCCTCAAGAAGGAAAAGCTCAGTGCCCTTATGGCTGAGGAAACTAATTGTTCTGACGAACCAATACGAGTCAACCCATTACAACTTCTTAATGCAATTCGCAAAGAGGGGACAGTGGCAAAGAGGGGGTTGATGTTTGTGCAGATTCGCCTGAACAATGTAGCTGTCCAGGCAATGGTTGATACAGGTGCAACCCATAATTTTGTTTCTGATCGGGAAGTACAGCGGCTTGGTCTGGCTTTGGTGAAAGACTCTAGCCAGATTAAGGCTGTTAATTCAGAAGCAAAACTAGTAGGCGACGTCGCAAGAGAAGTCCCTCTAAAAGTGGGTGATTGGCAAGGAACATCTGATTTTATGGCAGTCCCTCTCGATGATTTTCAGGTAATCCTTGGATTGCAATTCCTTACAAAGGCAATGGTGTCTGTTATGCCGCATTTAAATGGGATGTTCGTGATGGACATGCCCAATCCTTGTTTTGTTCCCCTTACAAAAGCCAAGTCTTCGAGGGAAATGTTGTCTGCCTTACAAGTAAAAGATGGCTTGCGAAAAGGGGAGGCAACATATTTGGCTGTTCTATTTGACGAAGATGAGTCCAAAGCATTTCAAGTCCCTGAATCAGTGCAACAGTTGCTGGTTGAGTTCAAGGATGTGGCACCTAAAGAATTGTCAGCAAGGTTACCGCCAAGACGGGAGATTGACCATGCCATAGAATTAATACCAGGGGCAAAAATCCCTGCACAGGCTCCTTATCGAATGTCTCCATCAAAATTGGCGGAGCTAAGGAGACAACTTGGGGGGTTATTGGACATTGGGTTCATTCAACCTTCCAAGGCACCCTATGGAGCTCCTGTTCTATTTTAAAAGAAAAAGGATGGATCCTTACGGCTTTGTGTAGACTACAGAGCGCTCAACAAAGTCACTGTCAAGAACAACTATCCAATGCGTCTTGTCGACGAACTATTTGATAGATTGGGAAAGGCGATTTTCTTTACCAAGATGGATTTGCGGCTGGGATATTATCAAGTCAGAATTGCAGAGGGAGATGAGCCGAAAACTACTTGTGTGACAAGGTACGGGTCATATGAGTTTTTAGTTATGTCTTTCGGCTTAACCAATGCCCCTGCTACATTCTGTAACTTAATGACCAATGTATTTCGGGAATACTTGGACCGCTTCATGGTGATTTATTTGGATGACATAGTTGTTTATAGCCAGACTCTTGAGGAGCATGTTGAGCATCTTAGGTTGGCCTTGACAAAGTTAAGGAAAGCCCAGTTGTATCTGAAACCAGAAAAATGTGAGTTTGCCCAGAAGGAAATTTCATTCCTAGGGCATATTATTTCTGCAGGCGTGGTGAAGATGGACCCGAAAAAAGTTGAGGCCATTGCAAATTGGCCTGTTCCTACTAAGGTTACTGAATTGTGTTCTTTCCTTGGTTTGGCAAACTATTATCGAAAATTCGTGAAAAATTATTCGAAGAAGGTCGCAGTGCTGACTGATCTTCTAAGGAAGGATAGAACATGGAACTGGTCCTACGAATGCCAGGAGGCATTCGATCGATTGAAGGCGGTGGTGACGTCTAGCCCAATTTTACGCTTACCTGATTTTGATTTGCTCTTTGAAGTCCGTACAGACGCATCAGACTTTGCTCTTGGAGGGGTGTTGGTGCAGAATGGGCATCCATTGGCATTTGAAAGTAGGAAGCTGAATGATACCGAGAGGCGGTATTCAGTAATGAGAAGGAGATAACAGCAGTCATTCACTGCATCAATGCATGGAGGCACTACTTGTTGGGGAAGCATTTCCTTGTACTGACAGATAATGTGGCTACTAGCTGTTTCAATTCCATGAAGAAGCTGACACCAAAACAAGTAAGATGGCAGGACTTTCTTGCCCAGTTTCATTTCACGTTGAAGTACAAGTCTGGCAATGCAAATCAGGTTGCTGATGTTCTTAGTCGAATCCCAGTTGCTGATGGGACAATTGTTGCACTTAGCCAAATTGCAGAGACATACTGCAGAGAATTCAGGATCAGACTAAAGATGATCCAGTGACCAGCTTATTGCTGAAGCAGGTTCACGAAGGGGTGACTCGACGATTTTGAGTAGAGGATTGTGTTCTCTACGCCAAAGGTAGGAGACCCGTTGTTCCGAAGTCAGGCGGACTTCGACAGATGTTGCTGAAAGAAGCTCATGATGCTCTATGGGCAGGACATCCAGGGCAGCAACAGACTCTTGCCTTTCTAGCAGAAAGTTATTATTGGCCCCGCATGGAAACAGATGTGGAGCTGTATGTGCGCACTTGTTTGGTGTGCCAGCAGGACAAGATTGAAAGGAAGAAGGTGGCGGGTATATTGGAACCTCTCCCTATTCCAAGCCGACCTTGGGAGAATGTTTCCATGGACTTCATTAATGGCTTGCCTCAGGTAAACGATTTTACTTCGATATTTGTGGTGGTAGACAGATTTTCGAAGTATGCCACTTTTATTGCTGCCCC